TTATCTGGGGCAAAATAATTATCAATTGATTTACCTCATAATTTTATGCATAAAAATATTAAGACGCATTTATTAAAAAATAATAGTTTATGAAATATTTTATACTTTTATACTTTTGTTTTAATACAATAGAAAAAAAATAATGATGAAATATATAGTGAAATATTCACGCATAAAAGAATTTTATTAGCTATCGAGCGGTTTGTTCTTTTTTTATTTTATATCAAAATTAATAAAATGAAATTAGTGAAACGAATATACACACAAAAAGGAGTTCAAATGAATCGACTTATCTCTTTACTTACACTTTTATCTTCTTCCTCCTCCTCCTCACTGATAAAATTTCTAGAATCATCTAACAGTATTTTTTCTATATCTGGTGATTTATCGAATTCTACCCATTTCGACCGTCCCTCCAGTTTCCGCGACAGTACATCAGACTCGTAATTACCACCGTACATAGGATAACTAAGGTGACCGGAATCGTATTCGACCTGATTGCCGTAGCGGTAGCTCGGGTTGGCCGAACCTTGACTAGATACTGAAAGGTCTGATTGTGACAGACCGGTATTGGTGCTTCCAAACAGTCGTGTATTTTCGAAACCTGTGTGAGAAATGTGACAAAATAGAGAATAAATCACAAAAACAAGATATTATGTATGAAACTGAATGATTCACCTGAGAATCTATCATCTGGTATTTCTTCTCTATGTACCAGAGCCTGTTGATCGGTGACAGCAGTGGTCACATCATTGGATGATCCTTTGTTACCCTCCGTCTCTTCCTTGTTATAATCTGGCTGTATTTCGACCACAAATGAACACCCGCTGTCCTTATACCTTGACGTGGGTTTATTATCCTCTGTCATTACCTGGAAGCAAATATAGTAAAATATATTACACAAATTGAATATGAAATGTACATTTTCTACACATACCTTTATTAAAAATTATTATAAAATATTGAAACTGTGTAAAGTTCACATTTTTTTAATTTTAATTAATCTAAATTCTTTTATTGTAATTAATTTAATGTACTATCAATTTGAATAATTTATTTACATTTGAATTTTCAAACATAAATAAATTATTCAAATATTTAATAAATATAATTTTAGCCTGGCTACACACATTAAAGCTAAATTATAACTAAGATAGTAACTGAAATATACTTATAGTAGTTCATTTTATCATAGTAGCTATATATTAATAGATTATTAATTTATAAAAGCTATTAGCTTTCTAAAACTATATACCTAACATTACGAGAGATCAAAAAATATTCAGGTCATGACCCATCTCAACGTTTGTGTAACATTTTAGCATCACAATGCCGGATTAAAATAATTTTAATGCTTTGTTTATGTTTTAAGTAATTTTTCAAGTATCAAATCTCAATAAGCTTCTGCTAAAATCTCTGCTAAAATTAAATAAAAAATAAAGATCGGTTCATAATCGAATCTTGTATTCAAAATCATTTTAAATACAGTCTGTACACAATAAAAAAATTGTATTAGCTTCTTAAGACATTACTTAAAACGGTTCTAAAATAAAACCGGATTATAAATAATCTTCTGAGTCTTCTGAGTGATTTATGACATCTTAAATCTGTACTTAAGACCATCTTAAAT